ATGCCAATCTGGTTTGAAAAGACTCTCCGACCAAACTGTCAGGAATCGATTGCGTGAATAGGTGATGTTGAGAATATTGGCCTAATACAGATGCGACAAAAACAACAATACAAATATACTATTTCTTTCCAAAACGTCATCTTTGTGTGATTTTAAACAACTTTAACGCCAAAACGCAATTTTAAGTTTTCTCTTGCTTAAGAAACGCTTGAAGAAATATTCTCCAAAACGTCACCAAGAAAACATGCAAAGCAAAATGCACGCGCAAGTAAGCAGAAAAGCACGCGGTATCGATCACTATGAATAGGCAGCATTTGTGTCTAATTTTGTCATTCCCCTTTGGAAAAGAGGAAATCATCAATAAACTTAGATGGGTCGGTCGGGCGATGACAAACACAAAAATTAAAAATGCTGCCCTTACCACCCAAGCCCAGGACCGCTACATCCGGGTTGCTTACTTGCGTCATCGTCTTGCCAGAGCCGTTGAGACTGCACAACGCATCCCTGGTTTGAAAAGAATTTCCGTCCAAACAGTCAGGAATCGATTGTGTGAAGTAGGGATTCGACCAAGAAGGCCAGCTGTCGCCCCTGTTTTGAGAGACTTACATCGTCGCAATCGCTTGCGGTAATGTTGTTGAGTCCGGAACTGGAACCTTAGAGACTGGAGGCGAGTCTGGTTCTGTGATGAATCACGATTTCTTCTTCACTGGCAAGACGAGACAGCGTGTTTACCGTCGTAGAAATGAACGTTTTTCCCCTCATTGTAGTCGACAGGTCGAAACTTTGGTGGAGACAGTGTCATGGTGTGGGGTTTGATATCTAGCACACTTGAAACTTGACAATAAATCGGTACATCAACGAAGTCTTTGCACGCCACATGCTCCCGATATATGGGCCGACAGGGGGAGTTGTTCCGGCACTACAACGCTACTTAACATACAGCACGCGTAACGGTACGCTACCTTGTCAGTTCTAACGCCAATGTCTTGCCATGACCTCCCGATCACCAGAACTAAACCCGATAGAACACCAATGGGATGAATTCGATTGACGTGTACGTCAGACACTTCCACAACTGGCCATCGCATTGAAGCTAGACTGTGGAAGAATTCCGCAAGAGCGACTTCGTCGAGTTATCCAGTCAGTGCCGAGACGGTGCCGAGCTGTAATTGCTGCTAATAGTGGCTATACAAAGTTACGTTGACGCCACCCTGCGGACTGCTGTTGTGTTGGCCAACTCTTTGTCTATAGAAGTGTGTATTTCTACATTTTTACCTTTGAAATTACATGAAATAATTGCTCTTCCTCATTCTTCTAAAAAAATGGCTTAGGCGTTTCTGTTTTTGAAGAGAGTATATAAAACCTGTGTTAACGGGAGGTACGTGACTTAATTTTGAGCAATGAACCACATCAAACGTAAGATACGTGGTCTACGTATATATTTGCTGCCGTCTCACTTGAAACTTTTTGCACATGTGCTGTAAACTGATTGTCTGGTTTGTTAACGACACAGCAGGAATAACGGTGTGTGACGTATGCAGTCTGTGTAATGGTGGATGCTACCCATACAACATACTATGCATATCCTTTACTTTACATATGCTTTGCTGAATTTTGGTCATTAAGTCATACGGTTTAAACCGTAAATTTTCTCTTTAAGCTCAGTGGGATCTGTTTTTGTTGAGACGGTGGGGTAGCCTAAAAGCTCATTATGCTGAAGACCAGGGCCCAGATTTTCTAATCTCTCTTAGCGCAAAGATAGTCGTAAGTGCCATACATGAATATTAACTTACGACTATCTTAGCACTAAGAGAGCTTCGAAAATCAAGGCCCAGGGTTCGATATCCCACGTGGGAATAATGTGTGAAGCCCATTTCTGGTGTCCCCCGCCGTGATATTGCTGAAAGCGGCGAAAACCATGCATGTACTCACTCTCTGACTGTTTTTCTAGTATATCAAGGAATATATTCAGTACTTTGGCCACATGTCCTATTGTACAACTACACGTCAGAGTACAATTTGGTCACGTGTAGGACCTGGTATTAAATACATTTTTGAGATATAATGCAACAGATTTAGTCACGTTCATATTGGTACTATTTAATAAATTTATCATACTTTGAGTAGCAATGACAGAATTGAATGTACACCTTAGTGATGAATACTTACTACAAACAAATAAAACTTGAAGCTCGTCTTCCTTACCACAATAACAATGAGAACAAATTGTATCTAAGTGATTAACATCATTCTCTTATTTATAGCAAAAATCGTGGAGTGGTATTCTTATTTTAGAGACAGCTCTTCTGAGTTCTCTATCCTGTTGCGGGAGCAGGACAAAAGCCACCTGGTCAAAAGCCACCTGGACAAAAGCCACCTGGACAAAAGCCACCTGGATAAATGCCACCTGGACAAAAGCCACCTGGACAAATGCCACCTGGACAAAAGCCACCTGGATAAATGCCACCTTGGACAAATGCCACCTGGACAAATGCCACCCGGACAAATGCCACCCGGACAAATGCCACCGGACAAATGCCACCCGGACAAATGCCACCCGGACGAAAGCCACCTGGACAAATGCCACCCGGACAAATGCCACCTAGGACAAATGCCACCCGGAGAAATGCCACCTCGGACAAATGCCACCTAGGACAAAAGCCACCCAGGTTTTTTTACCTATACAGAGAGGACCACTCTTATTGACTTTAATGTTGATTTTGATTTGTACAATTAAATAGACTTTGATTAATAATTTGGCTTGTTTTAAAAACTGTTCACGTTGATAAAAATGTTGATTTTGATGTAAAATTTGGATTTCATAGTAATGTTGACTTTATAAAAATGTTAATGTAAATGGATGTAGATCAATCAAAATGTCATAGACCACAGAAGGAAGTGCCACGGAGGTACTAAACCGTGAAATTTGTATTAAAGTGAGATGCATTGATATTGTAGTACTTGAATTTCTTTTCATTTTTCACATGTTCTTGTCTGTTTGAACATATTTTATTCAGTATTGAAAGGGATTGGGCACAAATTATTCACTCATTAAAGCAGTTTTCTGTTACAGCAGTTACATGATGTGAACACTCTGTATTGTCCGAAAAGATAACACCAAGATGTTTATGTTGATGTACACGCTCCAAATATTCACTATTGAAGATAAAGTTTTCTGCTTATTTATTCAATTGGGCTAAATCACAGTTGAGAGTTGCTTCTGTCGATTTTACATATTTTCCGATTTCCGATTGATGTGTCATCGGCAAACATTCTTGTGATATTTAAAATAAATAAATCAGATAAAGCATTGATATATACAAGGAACAAAAATGGACCAAAGACAGATCCTTGAGGAAGCACTGCAGTACTTCTTTTGATAATGTTCAATTAACAAAGACACACTGTGATCAGAGTTCAGTATATTATGCTAACTTTATGTCGATGAAAGGATTTGATGATCAGTGATATTGAAACTATGTTGACTTTGAATGAAAAATGAAAACAAGATGATAATGAAAGCAATAATGAAAGTTTGAACATGAATTATCATGCAAATACATCTGGGAAACACGATATTGTGTTTGTAGGGTTTTTTTATGGGAGGGTGGCATTTGTCCTAGGTGGCTTTTGTCCGGGTGGCTTTTGTCCGGGTGGCATTTGTCCGGGTGGCTTTTGTCCTAGCCCACTGTTACGATGTTATATATATTTCTGGTTGTATATCTTGTTTATAGTGTTCAAGAAAAGATGAATTATTGATTGAGTAATGCCTGTCTTGTAAGTATGTATCAGTTAGGCGCTGCTTGAAAATGTAAAGAAACTGTTTCGGATCACAAATATCTTGAGCCAGCCACACAAAGGAATATCCAGTTACAAACAATAAGCTTCGTACATTAGACGCCCAGTTAAGTATACTTGTTGAATCACATGTCCGCAAAAATAACTAGCGGAGTTACCTCTCTTGCTTTCAGGTATGTCCAGGTATGTCTTCCATCGTCCAGTTGTTTCAACATTAAATAACAGTTGTGTGGATATCTCCGTGTGTCTTGTCTCAGAAGACGAAGCCAATATTTAATTAAACTGGTGTCCAAATGAAACGTTGCATGACGTGTGAAGGTCAACCACTTACAAAATATCACAGTTTATGAAAATGATATGACAATAACAATATCTTATAGTATTACAACAACATTTGGCCGCTGGACGCTTAGTAGCTTAAGAGGAAATACAGAAAACAAACAAGTGTGGAGCAAATGTACTGGGCCCCGTTCCTCAATGCGATCGTAACCCTAAGATGATCGTAACTCCCATACTTTAACATAGACTTACGGCAGTCGTAGCACTACGATCGCTTTGAGGAACAGGGCCCTGGACAGAACGGTTTCACGAGTATACGATGTTGGCATAGTTGTGTTGGGATATTTTATCATGTCATACAAACGAATGATTTTGACTGACTTTTATAGCAGAACTGCACGATCATTTTTGCTAAACTTGCACGAATCATTGAAACACATTTGAACTCTATATGGCCTCAAGGCGTATTATTTTCACGCATGTTCTCGCCGATACTGAGAGCAGTGTGTGGGGAATGCTATTTTAGGAGTTGAAACGTTTCTTTTGGCCACCAGCTGCAGTATACTTTACAATGACCACAAATATGCGTGGTGTAACGCCAGTGTATGAAATAAGCCAAAACCCTAGTCAGACATCAGAGCTGGTAACTTCAAAATGTTACCAGTCCAAAATGGATTTAACCAGACCAGACACCAAACTATTTTACTCAGATGTATATAACATCTAAATATTTCCCAGACCATCGGGCTGGCTAGCAGTAAATCTAGACCGTCCGTCTGAAATCTAACCCGTCTCAGGCTGTGGGACGGGCCTTATTTCATACACTGGTTACAAACGCCCAGTTTATTGTTTTTGTAGATAGTTGAGACTGTTTATTCTCTGGCTTTGAATTTTAATATGTTTTTGCATATTTATGTTCAGAAATGGCTCGTGATCGCTGGCTTCATCATCTGGACTACTTGATAACGCTAGTCGGTTACAGCGTTGGTGGCGGGACCATTCAGAAGTTCCCGTACCTGTGTATGCGAAATGGTGGGGGTAAGTACAGGTACCTATCGATATCTTGGTTCGATAACATCTCCACTGAGACCATGGTTAAATGACATTCACCACTTAGAAGACTACCCATTTCAGACCTTGGTTAGATGCTATCCCCACTAAGACCCGGGTTAGATGACGTCCCCAGTAATACCCGAGTTAGATGAAGTCACCAGTGAGACCTGGGTTAGATGACGACCTCATTGACACCCAGGTAAGATGACGCTTCCACTGAGACACAGGTTAGATGACACCCTCAATGAGACCATAGTTAGATGACGTCCCCAATTGAGACCTGGGTTAGATGACATCAGAATTAAAACCCGGATTAGATGATGTACCTATTGAGATCCGGGTTAGATGAAATCCCCATTGAAGCCCGAGTTAGATGACGTCCCCACTGAGACATTGGTTAAATGACGTCCCCACTGAGACCCGGGATAGATGACGTCTCCACTGAGACCTGGGTAAGATGACGACCTCATTGACACCCAGGTAAGATGACATCCCCACTGAGGCACGTACTGTTAGATGACGTCCCCATTGAGACCTGGGTAAGATGATGACCTCATTGACACCCAGGTAAGATGACGCTCCCACTGAGACACGGGTAAGATGACACCCGCACTGAGACCCGAGTTAGATGACGTCCCCAACTGAGACCTGGGTTAGATGACATCAGAATCAAAACACGGATTAGATGATATCCCCATTGAGACCCGGAATAGATGACGTCCTCATTGAGACCCGGGTTAGATGACGTCCCCACTGTGATGACGTCCCCATGGAGATGACGTCCCCATTGAGACCTGGATTACATGACGTCCCCATTGCGACCAGGATAAGATGACGTCCCCAATGAGATGACGTCTCCATTGACATGACGTCCCCATTGAGACCCAAGTTAGATGACGCCCCCACTGAGATGACGTCCCCATTGAGACTCGAGTTACATGAAGTCCCCATTGAAGCCCGAGTTAGATGACGTCCCAATTGTGACCCGGATAAGATGACGTCCTCACTGAGATGACGTCCCCATTGAGACCCAGGTAAGATGACGTACCAACTGAGACATGGGTTAGATGACGTCCCCATTGCGACGTAGGTAAGATAACGTCCCCACTGAGATGACATCCCCATTGAAACCCGGGTTAGATGACATCCCATTGAGACCAGGAATGGATGACATACCCATTGTCAGCCGGTTAAGATGACGTCCCAACTGAGATGACGTCCCCATTGCGACCCAGGTAAGATGACGTCCCCACTGAGGCACGGGTTAGATGAAGTCCCCACTGAGACCTGGGTAAGATGACGACCTCATTGACACCCAGGTAAGATGACATCCCCACTGAGGCACGTACTGTTAGATGACGTCCCCATTGAGACCTGGGTAAGATGATGACCTCATTGACACCCAGGTAAGATGACGCTCCCACTGAGACACGGGTAAGATGACACCCGCACTGAGACCCGAGTTAGATGACGTCCCAAATTGAGACCTGGGTTAGATGACATCAGAATCAAAACACGGATTAGATGATATCCCCATTGAGACCCGGGATAGATGACGTCCTCATTGAGACCCGGGTTAGATGACGTCCCCACTGTGATGACGTCCCCATGGAGATGACGTCCCCATTGAGACCTGGATTACATGACGTCCCCATTGCGACCAGGGTAAGATGACGTCCCCGATGAGATGACGTCTCCATTGACATGACGTCCCCATTGAGACCCAAGTTAGATGACGCCCCAACTGAGATGACGTCCCCATTGAGACTCGAGTTACATGAAGTCCCCATTGAAGCCCGAGTTAGATGACGTCCCCATTGCGACCAGGGTAAGATGACGTCCCCAATGAGATAACGTCTCCATTGAGATGACGTCCCCATTGAAGCCCGAGTTAGATGACGTCCCAATTTTGACCCGGATAAGATGACGTCCCCACTGAGATGACGTCCCCATCGAGACCCAGGTAAGATGACGTACCAACTGAGACATGGGTTAGATGACGCCCCCATTGCGACCTAGGTAAGATAACGTCCCCACTGAGACGTCCCCACTGAGATGACATCCCCATTGAAACCCGGGTTAGATGACATCCCATTGAGACCCAGAATGGATGACATACCCATTGTCAGCCGGTTAAGATGACGTCCCAACTGAGATGACGTCCCCATTGCGACCCAGGTAAGATGACGTCCCCACTGAGGCACGGGTTAGATGAAGTCCCCATTGAGACGTCCCCACGTAGATGACGTCCCCACTGAGATGACGTCCCCATTGAGATGACGTCCCCATTGAGACCCAGGTAAGATGGCGTCCCAACTGAGACACAGGTTAGAATACGTCCCCATTGCGTCCCAGGTAAGATTGCGTCCCCACTATGGCATGGGTTAGATAAAGTCCCCATTGACACGTCCACACTGAGATGACGTCCCCACTGAGATGACGTCCCCATTGAGGTGACGTCCCCATTGAGACCTGGGTTAGATGACGTCCCCATTGAGATGACGTCCCCATTGAGACCCGGGTTAGATGACGTCCCTATTGAGACCCGGATTAGATGACTTACCCATTGTGACCCAGATGAGATGACGTCCCCACTTAGATGACGTCCCCATTGAGATGATGTCCCCATTGAGACCCGGGTTAGATGACGTAACCATTGAGAAGACGTCCCCATTCAGACCCGGGTGAGATGACGTCCCCACTGAGACACGGGTTAGATGACGTCCCCATTGCGACCCAGGTAAGATGACGTACCCATTGAAATCCGGGTTAGATGATGTCTCAATTGAGATCAGGGTTAGATGACGACCCAATTGGCATCTGGGTTAGGTGACGTCAACACTGAGACACGGGTTAGATAACATCCAAATTGGAGGCAAGAGTCAACAAAATTTACCAAGTCGTCGGTGAGACGTTTTCCGGGTGCTTTTTGTTTGTTTGTTGTTTAACGACGCACTCTAGCTGTATGTCAGCTGTTTATAATCTTGTATGGGCCAGAAAATCCATGTATTTATGACGCTTTTTGGAATTATATACCACATGATAATAATTCATGCCCGGTCGTCTTATGAGGGCCGTGGGGTGGCCTCGTAGGGTAGCCTGGTAGTTAAAGCGTTCAGTCGTCACGTCGAAGATCCAGGTTATTATTGTTATAATAGGATATATATATAGCGCACATATCCTCGCAACTAGTACATGCTGCTCAAGGCGCTGTTGTTTTTTCCTCGATCATAGGATGCCAATTTCAACGGCACATCGTATTAAAGTACTGTCGGAAATAGGAAAAAAATGTATTTTCTCATTTATCTCTACAATTTATGTAGTTGATATGTGCAAGTGTGAAATATCTGTGGTATAGTGGTAGGGACATAGGAAACGTAGAAAAGGGACTTTACTGGGGAGAGATTAGTGCAGAAATGAGCAAGGTGGGTTTTTCCTAAGTCCAAAACGATTTATTTGGAACAGACAATGGCTTTATGCAAATTAGTGTGCGACGATATTGCATTACAAAGGACACTTTTTAAATGCCCAATTTGAAATTAGACGTAGTTTCATTGTAAACGATAGCTGGTGTAAAACAATAATAACTTTCATGCTGGAACTAGTAAGGATGTAGCTACCATGGAGTCTCACTGTCTCACTATAGAACGAAACAGATAGGAGGGTTCGTCTCAAAAGCAAAACCTGGACAGGTGTCGCAGACGATCGTTGGGGTCGGGCTGGGGAATAGAGATAGCTAAGATAAGATAATCCTTTAGGGCAATTATACTGGGGAATTACACGGCATGTCGTAACAAATGACAAATAATATCCAGTTATGTCGATCTTCGCGATCGGGTGGTCACGCTACCTATATATTTTGAGACATTTAATACGATGCGTTTCTATGGTTATCAGGTATCATACTCTTTTACATATCTCAACATAAACTTCATGAAAGAAAGACACGTAAGATCTTAATCAATAGATGAGGCATAGTCAACACACATAAAAAATCACAAAATATCTTTGAGATGATCCCTTGTGCCTGTAGGCAGCACATGCATTTCATGCCAGGTGAGTCGACGGTCCGTCGTCATACCTGGCTGAGCGACCTAATTGCCATCTATAGTCTGATCTATTGTTTTCAGCGGCTATTCGTATTTTTTCTAAGTTTTGCCCGATTTTACGAGTAAACATGCTTTTCTGGATATCTTATTACGCATCCCACTGAACGCGCAGGTAGGCCGATGTGGGTTATTTCGACATATGCTATTTGCAGTTGTATAAATATTAGGGATACAGAGAAACAGCCTAAAAAAGGTTTTTTTTTCTATTTCCAACAGTACTTTGGCAATCTCAACTCCCTGTGGACCATAGATCTCTTGCAGCCACTAGGCGCACTATGTTATTGCGGCTTTTCTATCCATGCAAAGTACCTATATTCACAGCTGGGTGGACTGGGACCAATAGTCACGGTACTTTGCCAAAGTTCACTAAACGTTGCTGTACCCGCAACTAGGTGTTTGCACGTATTCATGTGGCCACCATCTAGTCATTTACCAACGGCTTCGTGGGTTCGTTTAAGTGCACAGGGTTGTGTACTGAACACTAGGGGTTGTGACCACACTGAAAGAGTCTGCACACAAAGATGACTCCAAGGTTTCTACACCCGGTCACAGGTGGGCTCGACCCCGGCAACTCGAGCTCGCTGTATCACTAGCCTAGCGCCTTAAACAGCTCGCCCACTATTCAGATTAGTCTGTACACGTGGGAGCGGTGTATGTAGACTTGTATGTAGATTAATAATTATGATTATCACTATCGTGTACTCTCTGTTTCAACAGGTGCTTTCCTCATAGTCTTCATGCTGTTTACGGTGATCGGCGCCATTCCCTGTGTGTTTGTGGAGATGGTGATTGGCCAGTTCTCTCAGAGTGGTCCTGTCACAGTGTGGAACATGTGTCCTCCGTTTAAAGGTAAGCTGTTTATGTACTTGGTTTTGTTTGTATGACAAACATTTTATTTCTGTGTTTCTTTTAACGCCGCACACAACAATTTTCCAGCTGAGGTGTGTGTGTGTGTGTGTGTGTGTGTGTGTGTGTGTGTGTGTGTGTGTGTGTGTGTGTGTGTGTGTGTGTGTGTGTGTGTGTGTGTGTGTGTGTGTGTGTGTGTGTGTGTGTGTGTGTGTGTGTGTGTGTGTGTGTGTGTACTGAGTTCATTTACACCTGTTTTGACGAGAGATTCAGTGGTCATTGAACCCCACCCTGGATCCGCCTATGGACTGTCCCTTACAGAACTGGGACGCCTCAGCCGGTGATTCGTGGCTTCGTTCAAACTAACCTGGTTGTAAGTAACAGAGTCTGGACCAAATGCTCCGGTGATCAACAGCATGAGCATCGATCTTCGCAATTCGGATACGATGAAACTAGTCAGAAAGCCTGCGCAACCGATCCCGATCTTTTGGGCTTGAGTTTGCTTTGATTTTGTTTGCCTGCGTGTGTGCGTGCGTGCGTGAGTGTGTAGAAAGCTACATGATTGTGGTTTTACAGGAATAGGGCTGGGGACAGTGGCCATCACGTGGACACTCTCTACCTACAACTTGGCTATATTTTCCTGGTACCTGTACTACTTCTTCAATTCCTTCTCGACATACCTCCCATGGACGCTTTGCAGCAATGACTGGAACACGGTCACCTGTGTAACCCATGACACACACGTCAACAACACCATCTCAACAAACATCACCATCGGGGGAATGACAGCCGCAGAGGAATATTGGAGGTAGGTGACAGTCTTGAACGCCGCACTCAGCAATATTCCAGCTTAGCAAGTCTGACCACCAGATCCCGTTAGTCGCCTCTCACAACAAGGATGGGTTGCTGAAGACAAGTATCAGTCGTGAGGAGAGAGGGGAATATTTCACAAAATCCCATTGGGAAGGCACAATGGTTTACATTACCTTGAATATTCAATATTCCCTCTTGAAAACACAAAATCATATCTGGGAGAGCTATTAATCAGCTCAAAGTAGTCAGTAAATCCTTTGGAATTCCATCAATTGCTAAATTCAATTCAGTTTATCTTGTAATTTCAACATATAATCTTGAATTTAAAACTTAATAGTCAACAGTATTTCAATTTTCAAAACAGTTTTCAAGATGTGTGTACAAGGTACATGCCATATATTAGTCTTAGCAACGATGACCGTCATTATATTGGTGACAGTGTGTGGAAGGTGGACGACTGGGAATGTATTGTCACCTTATGCATGTGACCTTTTTCGAAAACCTTTGGTAACCCAGCAGTGTGTGGGTACCAGGTAGGATGTGTCGTTGGCCTTCTGTACCTCACAGTAATTTAGATTGTATACTCCCCATGGAGATGAGAATTGACAGTGACAATATATAAGTACCAAAAACGAGAGTTCATTGTAAAAGGTATTTGGCGCATAGGAAAATTGATCATCCTATTCAGGTTCAAGGTACTGGACATAACCGAAGGTTTAGAGAATCTTGCTGGGATGAGATGGCCGTTGGTCGGTTGTTTGGCTGTCACAATGTGCGTGGTCTTGCTGTGTCTGATATGGGGAATCAGAGTTTCAGGAAAGGTAATGTAATATTATTTGTATCAATGTAACGTCAAAACAGCTTTCCATTGTCAAGGAGGCTTTTTACGTGAAGCTTTTGAATGCCATATCGTATCTGATAATTTCGATCCTAAAATTAAGAGTCTTGCTGTATGAACATAATCAACACCCACGCTTTGAACCAACACAGTGAACAAGAAAAGATTCTACAGCAATCTCACATGTATGTGTTCGCCATATCTTAATAATCATCTCGGAATCGCAGACCAGTTAACTGACAGCATGTCAGCCTTCTAACGTCCAAGACTTGAAGTAAATGTATTACTACACAGTGTCACTTTGGCAGTCATGGGGTAGTCCTGTGAACAGATTTCTTATCCAATGACTTTATTATTTTGGTATATTTGTTACAAAGGTTTTCAAAGGTTCCACATCTCTTATTCGGAGGAACTATCTTTTCAGAGATGCAACTGGTTATTGTGGTCTGGTAGTGTCGAAACGACGTCACACATTGTAAATGTAATTCTGTCTACATCCTTGGGTTGTCCGTATGGTTTTTTTCTGTTTCTTATTTCAAGTCCACCGTTATGCTTCGTACCGACGCAAACTATACAAGATTTTCACCTCAATTTTCAAATTTCAAATTATGCCCCAGTGTGAATAAGAATATACGTATACCCTTGCACACACATAAAACCCCAGATCACTTCAATCTTTCTTCATTTACATTCATAAAAAAATGTTTTCGAAGCAAAGCGATTCGATCTACCTTACATAAATTAACGACTGCTAACAAATCACCATCAAAATAAGTTTGTCTTTCATTTATTTATAATTTCCGTTGGCCCGTCAACTCTCATCCTTGTTCAAGTTGTGATGAGAAACCTATTAAAATACTGATGGCTTTTGGTACAAATTAGGGATATATAATATGTGAATTGATATTGACAAGCTCCGACCTGCATGCAGACCTCTGTACTCTTGAAAGTTTACGCTTACACAAAGAGAAAGCCATTTCTTACAAAAATACTTTTCATGATGAATTACATATTGTTTCATCTGATTTGATGAGCTGTGTCACTGCGTGTCCTCGTACCCTGATGGCAGGGGAAATTGTTTATATACTGATCAAAATAAGACACTTCACACTTGGAGAAATGAATTATATTGCTACTGCTAAGATCTGAGGGCATCACATACTAGAAACCGGCAATGGGATCTCTTTTGTTCTAATGTAGCGTTAACTAAGATCTTATTCATGATCAGTTATGACGATCATACACAGTCAACGAATTACTTTGTGCGGCACTGAACAACATTCACACACACACACACGCACACACACACCCCTCGTCTGAGTCAATAACATATACACTTGGAACATAATTAAGCACCACCGATTTTGTTCATAGTGCCATAAAACTGAGCATCTAGTACCATTAGTATGTATACTGGAAAGCTTAAACGCCGTTGTTTCCTGAAAGTTGATATTTTGGACTAATAATGACAACAAAATCATGAAAATTTGCAATATTTCAATTTACAAAATGACATGCTTCAGGACGCCATTTGTATTGAAAGGCTGACGTCTCACAAGGCTTGCTAAATCCCGATCCTCAACTTGAAACGTCTTTCGGGGTTGACCTGGCCTTGGTCAGTCCTTATCCTTGTTGGTTTGACGGTGTTTTTGAACAAGTCGACTCATGACGGTGTGGTGAATGTCAAGCTGTAGCACAAGAGCCCTGCACGACATCCCGGTGTCATGCATTCCAATAATTTGCCATGTTGTAGCTTCTGGTAGTCACCTTCGTGCCATTGTAATAGATACTGGTAAAATCGTTTAAAGGTTTTGGCGTTTTACAGTTAGCCGCATTGAGTTAACAGTGCTTTTTGAGACAATCGTGGGTAGTTTGATTCAACTGCATATTGGGATGTGTTTTGGCGATTGATTTAGCAAAACCTTTAAACAATATTGAAAGGGAATACAGTTCAAATAATAGTCATCGTTACAATTCAAGATTTATCATTAGGTAAGTCAGTAACTTGAAATATGTTAGGGTGTCTTAATTAAGTTCCATGTGTTTTTTTTGTGGTTGAACAGCCAGGACAACCACGATCTTCTTTTAGTTGACTTAACACAATACATTCATTATAAAATGCAATTCAATATTAGGGGCAGAGGTGGGTAGCCTAGTGGTTACAGCGTTCGCTCGTCACGCCAAAGACCGGGTTCGATTCCCCACGAATACAATTTGCGAAGCCTATTTCTGGTGTCCCCCGCCGTGATAATGCTGGAATATTGTGAAAAGCGGTTTAAACTAAACTCACTCACTCACAATTCAATGTTCATGTGTATAGATATGTCTTTTTCAAATAGATTGTGTACGTCACCGTGGGTATCCCATACTTGCTGAACACGATCTTCCTGATCCGAGGCTGCCTGCTACCAGGATCTGCTGAAGGAATATACTATTATATATACCCTGATTTTGAGATGCTTCGGGATCCAAATGTATGTTTGATAATGTCAAATAAAGTATATAAATTTAGACCGATAATCTTTTGCTATTTTTGATTGTATAATGCTTTTAATACATCAATACCGTAGGTTGAAGAAAATGTTTTATATAAGTTCATGATCTAATCTTTGTGTTAATTTTAATATCAGATTAAAAATCTGTTTTGAATATCTACACACCTGTGTTACTTGAGCGAGGGGCGGTGGGGTAGCCTAGTGGTTAAAGCTTTCGCTCGTCACGTTGAAGACCCGGGTTCGATTCCCCACATGGGTACAATGTGTGAAGCCCAATTCTGGTTTCCCCGGTCGTGATATTGCTGGAATATTCCTAAAAGCGGCGTAAAATTCACCTCACTCATTCCTTGAACGAAGCTCGGCTGAGCAGATATAACCTGGCAGTATATGCGTAATGTAAAAGCCTACTAAATGTATCGGGTGAACTGCATATCATGTTACTCCAATGTCTTGGATAGATGCTCATGATGTCAATCACTTGGTTGCCACGTCTAAGGAATTATTGGTGGATCGGGACCAAGGTTCAAATATATACAGACCATTGCATTGAATTCTTTTATTGTTACTTCCAGGTGTGGATGGAGGCATGTGCTTACTCATTCTTCTCCATGGGGATCGGCATGGGCTGCATAATCACACTGTCTGGACACAACAACCTCAAGAACAACTGTTTCAGGTACATCTTCTACTGGATGTAACCTCGTGTGTTCTAGAAATGAGCTTATTACAGACGAAACTCATACATTATGTACGTAGCAGTTAATACATGAATAACCCGTGAAGGTCCGGGATAGAATTGGTCTTCAGCAACCCATGCTTGTCGTAAGAGGTGGCTAACTAAACGGGGATATCATACTCTGAATCATCAAGGACGACCACTTGATGATCAAGGATAACGACATGTGTAAAAGTGTCATGTCAGCAAATATAATTTGTGAATGGATTACAGACTGCCGCTGAGTCAGTATTGTTGTCATGGCCAGATGGATCGTCACTGACGATGGATGTCCAATATCTATTGATAGTCATTACGGGGTACCGCGAACACCCGGGTTAAAATTGATCTTCAGCAACCCATGCTGGTCGTAAGAGGCGACTAACGGGGTCGGGTGATCAGGCTGCAGAATGACTTGACCTAATGGTTTCATTTAATTTTTCACAACAGAATCTCGCCAAAGACTAGCCATGACTGACTAGCCATAACGATCGGGGTCAGAATTTGTCTTCAGCAACCCATATTTGTCGCTAGAGGCGACTAACGGGATCGGGTGGACATGCTCACTGACTTCGTTAACACATGTCATCGTATCCCAATTGCTTAGATTGATGCTCATGATGCTGATTACTGGATTGTCCGATCCAGATTAGATTATATACAGACCGCCGCCATATCGCTGGAATATTGCTTAGTGCGGCGTTAAACAACAAACCAACCAACCAGCAGATTCTCGTGCTTTCTTCGGTTGAGTAGTGAGGACCCACAGAGAGTGTGTGTTCGAATCCCGGATGTGACTAGAATCTGTACTAATAATACCAGATATAACGTTGATTTTCTATCAGTTGCATATGCTTTAAATAGAATTGCGGAGCTATAATCCAGATTGCTGTTATAGTAAAACGGGTTTTACTTCGCGAAGTCATTTGAATGTCTTCTTTAAAAACATGAAAAGAAAATATTTGTTAACGCCCAATTGATCAAATGTTCTGCAAATCCAGACAGAAATCTTAGTGACAGTCACCATGTTGTTAATGAGTCAGTTGTCGACCTCGTTCTTTCATGGGACTATGAACGACCATTGCTATAAATTTGTGAATGTGAGGGAATGTAGGTAACATCATTATAGACTTCAAACACTGAGGCCGTTGAATCTTTATTCACAGGGACTCTATAGCAATGTGTCTTACGGACGCTCTCACTACCATCTTCGTGGGGTTTTCTGTCTTCAGTATCATTGGTCACGTAGCCTATATACGTGGACTTGATGTGGAAGCTTTCCAGTCATCAGGTGAATATGTCCTTCACGTAAATTAGTAAAATTACACAATATCAAAATTACGACAAACCATATTTACCAAAATTACAAAGGCATATATTTACTTTATGTATATTAAACTAAACATAGATTTATGTAATTGACAAACCATTGAGGCTTGAATATGTCCACCACATCTCAGCCTTATGACAAAAGGCCATTATGCCATAGACGTAAGCGTGCATCCCGTCAAGATCCGTGTTAGAATTGGTCTTCAGCAACCCATGTTTGTTGTAAGAGGCAATGGAACTAACGGGATCGAGTGGTCAGGCTCGCTGTCTTGGTTGACACATGTCATCGTATCTCAACTGCGTAGATCGATGCTCATGCTGTTGATGACTGGATTATCTGGTCCAGACTCGATTATTTACAGACCACCGTCATACAGCTGGAATATTGCTGAGTGCGATATTAAACAACAAACAAAGTGTGTATCTGTTTGGTGATGTTTATTTCCAATTAGATGCACATAGTAAAAGGTTTCATCATTCGTCCAGTGTGATCGTCACTATGTTCAATTTGTTTCCGGAGATAAAACGAACTAAGACGACTGCATGTTTTGTCTGTTAATAATTATCGTTTTTTAAAGTAATGTTTATTACTTTCGAACTGTTCAAAATATATTCATAATTTGCGGGAACATATTAATTACACATGCATCTGAAAAGTGGTTATTGATAAAACAGTATTTCTCTTACTGGGTTGTCTCAACATTAATCTGAATGGCTTCATTTCAGGGTTCAACCTAGCCTTCATCGTCTATCCCCAGGCTGTGTCAGCACTCCCATGGCCACAATTGTGGTCGGCCTTGACCTTTCTCATGTTGATGTCCTTGATGATTGACTCCATGGTAACAGCACGTCTCTACTTGAAAATGAGAATAATTGATGAAATAATCATATAGTGTTTTAGTTGGGTTTTTTATCTGTTCCCATACATTTACACACTGTTTTTCATTTCATTCCCCAGCCAAATAGCTGGAATATTGTTGAATGAGACGTTAAACAAAACCCAAAAAAGATTATTTCGCGCAGGGCCCCGTTCTGCAAAGCAAACACAGAATGTGTTCACCCTAGCGCTGAGATCGCTTAGTGGAACACAACCCTGGACGAAAGCAAGTGAAACATTGGTCTTGTGTTCAGTTTGTGCCAGCATCAATGCGATGAATAGCTTCTCTTTTTACAACAGCATACGGAAATCCATGTGGTTTGTGTCTTTGTCGTCTACAAAACAAGAAAGGATCAGAAAGTCTCGGCTGAGGCCAGCTTCCGTGTGAAGCTACAAAAACTGATGAAGAGGAGACTTAATTGGAATAAACCCAGTCTGTCCCAGCCAGCTGTCATCCAAAGACTCGTTGCTCTGCATGAAAAGTATGTAGTTATTCCCACTGAAAAGGCCTCAGATAACATAATCCTTATATGTAAATTATCATTACATAAATTGTTTGATGAAAGAGCTTGGTATACGTGACATATCAAATAATGCCACATGTAAGGCCAGTATGTTAACTGAGGAAGCAATCGGCCTAAACCATTCAACGGTGCCATCAACGTTTGGCTAAACTCTAAACCCTGAAGACATGGTCATTCCTCTTTTGTACTCACAAACAGTCTGGATTTCAAAACTTCATAAAATCCGTACAGGGAGAAATTTATTGCTGGTTCCAACAAATGTACCACCAAACCCTTGTCTCAGAGATTGACCATAATCCTTGACACTATCAAAGAAGATATTTGAGGCAAGCGGAATTAATACCATGTGGATTCTAAAAAACACAAAGGATTTGCTTACATTTGTTCAATCTCAGAAGCGGACCGCTTCAAAAGATTTGATTTTCAACATTGTATACCACAACCCCACATAACAAACTTAAGGAAAAACTTCATTTCCTGATTCATGGGGCTTTTGTAAACAAACGTACATATCTATCGTCAGAGGTTCAGAACAATTTGTTAAAAAATGAAAGCATATGTCATTTGAAGTTTACCGAGAAAACAATATGTGAAATGCTGGACTTTTGCATTGACAACATCTTTGTGAAATTTGGAGGTAAAACACTTAACCAAAAAGTAGGCATCCCCATAAGCACCAGCTCCCGTCCTTGCGGATATGTTTCCTTATGCATATGAGTCAGAATTTCTGCTTGGGTTGGCAAAATCAAAACAAGGTCAACTGGCCAAGAAGTTGAACTTAAGCATCCGATACATCGATGATTTAATATCATTCAATTACCAAGTCACCAATTTATCCACCTGAACTTGAAATTAAGGAGACAAGTGAGACTGCCTCAACTTTTTCATATTTGTCCGAGTGACAAAAATTTCTCCACAAGGCTGTATGACAAAAGGGATGATTTCAACTTTCCAATAGTCAACTTCCCCTTCATGTCGAGCAATATTCCAACAGCTTCAGCCTTTGGTGTTTACATTTCACAACTTTTGAGGTTCAATCTTTTAATCAGGATTTTAATGAGCGTCATGTCACTCTTGCTCAGAAGTTGTTTGATCAAGGTTACAACATTCAAGGCCTCAGCAAAGCTTTCAAGAAATTTTATGGTAGACATGTGGAGGAAAATCCAAATGATGTCCGATGCAATTCCCTATGTTGACTTATACCATACGTTCCCGAATTATTTCATCTCTTCGCTAAAATGGCTTTGTGCAAGTTGGTCCAGAACTACAGAAAGACAGATTTCTTAATACTGTTATATTTATTGAATTGTATGCAAAGTTATATGCAGGAAAATACTATTGGGCAGAGAGAACAGTATATTGATCTGAAAAAAGTTGGTATTTGACATACGACCATCACATACAGAAGTGGCTGCAATCATGTTGAAACGTGTATAGTCTCTTAAAATATAACCATTAGGTGTTTATTCCCCGGGGTACGTCATACCAAACAAATGTTACTTGTTACACTGCCTGGTGCATGGTATTTAAGTAATAAAATAATAACTGGTAGGATCATAGTCTGTATTCTGTGTCGGAGTGGGGATCCATGTTAAACTGCAGCCGACCCAGTAGGAACCGTCCACTGGCATCAGTTTACAACAAATTGTTCTTATTATGAAGATAAGTTGTTTTTCGCTTTATGCTTCCAATAGGGCAATGTTTGCTCTGTATAACGATACACCTTATGTGGTGTGGTGTGATGTGGTGTATTTGAATGGTTGTTCTTAATATTTAAAACATTTTTCAGTGTGATTATACTACTTTATAGTTTTCCCAGAAATTATTGAGAAATATTTGTTTTCTAATACTGGTAATGGAATGTTAACATAGGTGTTACATTATGAAGCAAGATAATCAATATTGGCGGCAACTCGTGTAGGCTTAAGAATGAACCTTACTACATCAAGAGTTATCTCCCCTGGTGAAGCAGACGGCTTCCTTTGTTGAAGTGGCAGATTTGACAGCGGAAGAAAAATGAAAGCTCGTTCTAGATGATTTTGAAAGGGGCGCGACGAGTTAGCTGGTAGACATGACATTCGTCTGTCTACAGTATACAGACCTTTGAAGAATATTCAATCAGGAGTTGGGATTGAGAACAAGACAGAGGCAGGGAGGCCAAGGAAGTTCAGTACTACGTATGAATTGGGGAAAGCTGGAAATCATAGAGAATATCAGAAATGAGACGATTAATAGAGGAAGTTCTCAGGTATGTAATGAAACCCAAAAATTACAAAGACTTAACTGGGTGAAGCGCGGAATTCCCTAACCATAGACGAAAGATGCACAAAAAAACAACCTTTAACTGGTGTAGGGCTCACAAAAATCAAGATTGGGATAATGTTTTCGTTTCTGATGAAAGTTCTGTCTGTTTTTTTCCGAACTGTGAGAAAATATGGACAAAAGATACCGTTAAACCTATCTACCAACGCCCAAAACATTTCACTTGTGGGGCGAGATATCACCACGTGGAGTGACGCTGTTGTGTATTGTCACTGGAAATGTGAAGAAGGAACGCTATGTTGACATCATAAATGGTTACCTCCTTCCAACGGCCGGAACACTGTACGAAGATTGCATTCTCCAGCATGACAACGACCCAAAACACACTGGGATACACAAAACATGCAGCGGTTGTCGGACGAAAATGTTCAAATTTTAGAATGGCCAGCCCAGATCTTAACCCTACTGAGAATGTGTGGGGACTAATGAATAGACAGATTAAACCGAAATGGGCTTAGAAATATTGAAGATATGAAGGAAGAAGTGGTCGAATATTGGGATACGCTATCAAATGATTTCCTACAAACTTTGACTGGCAGTGTACCTAGGCGCATTCAGTCGTTTATTGCAGGGCAAGGAGGTCTCAATAAGTACTGAGAAGACACTTAGGCTGTAAGAGAATCATAGCTGAACATATTCATTTAAGTAAAACTTCTGTAGTTTATATACATGTATTAGATATTTTCCGAAACAGTTTTCTCAATAATTTCTGGGAATACTATATATTCAGATACCCAGCTTTGAAATTGTCGTGACGGCTTTGACGGATCAGCTCCAGGTTTGGCAAACCACAGATGTCTCACTGTGTGTTCAGTGCTGCTGTCTTCATCGTTGATTGCTCTTCTGTTCATGACTCGGGTAGGGATTTATAGAAATATATATTCTCGTTATAAATTGGTTACATTTTAAACCACACAAATCCTAATAAGAGCATTCCACGAAAAGACGACGTGAAATTCATTCTGACCATCGGTTTTTGGACCAATTTATTCTTGAAAAGCTCAAAGCATATTTGGACATTGAATTTTATTACTGGCGTTTTTCCGTCCGACATCTTCGTACTTGCAGTGTCATGCGAAAAGCAGCATATGTTTTATTCCAATAATCTGTTTTGCAAATGTGTTCGTAGTTTTTTAAAGCTATGGGGCTGTGGGGTAGCCTAGTGGTTGAAGCGTTCGCTCGTCACGCCAAAGACCCGGGTTCGATTCCCAACATGGGTACAATGTGTGAAGCCCATTCTGGTGTCCCCGGACGTGATATTACTGGAATATTGTTAAAAGTGACGTAAAACTAAACTCACTCACTCACTATTAAAGCTATGTTATTCAAACTTTTATTGCTGTTCCAACACCTTCACAAACATTTGAACAGAATTTGTATGACAAAAATCAAACTTTCAATCATCCTGGTATCTATAAACAAATGAGCTTTTTGCTTCAAACATCGGAACAAATAATACTATACTCAAATAATACTAACAATTTAAGGAAACTATAGGATATTTTGTTCTACTTTCAGGGTGGGATATACGTCCTAACGTTGGTGGACTGGTACGCTACTTTCCCCTCCCTCGTTTTCTTCGCAACAATGGAATGCATCGCGGTCAATTTCTGTTATGGTATGGTTTTCCTCCTCCTAGTTTTTCTTCTTTCTCTCCTTGTTTTCTTTTCCTCTTCCTCATTGTTTTCCTTCTTCCTCCCTTGTTTTCTTCTTCCTCTTCTTCCTTGTTTCTTCTTCCCGTCCTCGTTTTTTCTTTTTCTTCTCCTTCCTCCTCCTTTTTTTTCTTCTTCCGTCATGTTTTCCTCTTATGCCCCATTGTTTTCTCTTCCTCATTGTATTTTTCTTCCTCCTGCTTGCTTTCTCCTTCCTCGTTTTTCTTCTAACTTCTTGTTTTGCTTCTTCTTCCTTGGCTTTTTCATTGTATTTTTCCCTCCTTGCTTCTCTTCCCCTCCTTGCTTTTCTTCTTTCCCTCCTTGTATGTCTTCTTCCCTCCTTGTTTTTCCTGTTCCTCCTAATTGTTTTTCTCCTTCCTCCTTGTTTTTCGTCTTCTTCCTGCTTGTTTTTCTTCTACCTCCTTGTTTTTCCTCTTCCTAATTTGTTTTCTTCGTCTCCTTGATTTTCTTCTCCCTTCTCCTTGTTTCTTCTTCCCGTCCTCGTTTTTCTTCTTCTTCTTCCTTTCCTTTTCTTCAGAATTGAAACAGTAAGGCTGCGTCCTGTAAATTAACGAAATCTTGACACTGATATGTGTTATCAGTGATGATCCACGCAAACGATGTAAAGTTGCATGAATTCAACGAAACCCTCACCAAAAGATCGCACTTTTAAGCAACGCTTCCGTGTAAGAATAAGAAACTATCAATCAATCCTCAGTAAAAAAGATCGTTATGATACGGAAGCGTAGTAGGGCCACGGTGAAAGATTTTTTTGGTCTTACTATCTCCTACGTAGTACTTAATATCTCCTACGTAGGACTTAGTATCTCCTACGTAGGAGTTAGTATCTCCTAAGTGGGTATCTCCTACGTAGGACGTAGTATCTCCTACGTAGGAGTTAGTCTCTCCTACGTAGGACTTAGTATCTCCTACGTAGGAGTTAGTATCTACTAAGTGGGTATCTCCTACGTAGGACGTAGTATCTCCTACGTAGGAGTTAGTCTCTCCTACGTAGGACTTAATATATCTCCTACGTAGGACTTCATATCTCCCACGTAGGACTTAGTATCTCCTACGTGGGACATAGTATCTCCTACGTGGGACTTAGTATATCCTACGTAGGACTTAGTATCTCCTACGTGGGACATAGTATCTCCTACGTAGTACTTAATATTTCCTGTAGGAGATGATCGATATACGTTTATATGGATTAATCTGGAACGGTCGACTTAAAGCCCCAGCCACGCACAGAATCTCCTGTTTCACTGTTTCAGTCACTGTAAGAGTCTACAGTCATTCGTTTCATTCATTATTAGTGTCTACAGTTATGTGTTTCATTTACTGTTAGAGTCTACTATCATGTGTTTCAATTTACTATTAGAGTCTACTGTTTCCTTCACTATTAGAGTCATGTGTTCAACTAATTGTTGCACATTAGTACTGTGTTGGACCGACTGTTATACTTTACTGCCTTGCGTTCAGTTTGCTCTACTATTACGCGTTGCAGTTAGTTCACTGCTATATGTTGCACTTTGTTACACTTTACTATTATGCATTGGATATTTCAGAGGTCGTTGCACATGAATCATGATCTGCGTGTACAGACGTGTCTTAGACTATAGGTGGCAATCTATGTGCACTAATCTCCTTATATTTATACATATTACTATAATGACATTTCTTTGCCTTTTGAATTTCGTATTGTTTTACGCCGCACTCAACACTTGTCCACCCCAGTCAAGTCAACCTGTAAACAATTACGAATAAAACCGCAAACGAGCGTTGCATCCGATCCAACCTAGCCCTATAAAGACAAGCAACAACTTGCGGAGGTCGTGTTATAACCCGAGTTTCATATCACAACCTCACCCCAACCATCCCACCCACCTGTGTGTGTGTGTGTGTGTGTGTGTGTGTGTGTGTGTGTGTGTGTGTTTGTGTGTGTGAATAGATGTATGTATGATAGATTAAACATAACCATACCCAAACCTCCATAACTGCAATTAGAACAGGGTCCACGTCACCCTAACGTAATACACACACAATAACACTGTACAGTAACACTGCGTTAGTGTCATGAATATTCACTGACTCACATTTCGACTATCTAACGTCCTGCATAGCCAAACATTTCTCAACTTAATAACCATCCTTAAAAAGGATATATTAAGTCCTACGTAGGAGATACTAAGTCCTACGTAGGAGATAGTAAGTCCTACGTAGGAGATAGTAAGTCCTACGTAGGAGATGCTAAGTCCTACGTAGGAGATATTAAGTCCTACGTAGGAGATACTAAGTCCCTACGTAGGAGATATTAAGTCCTACGTAGGAGATGCTAGAGTCCTACGTAGGAGATAGTAAGTCCTACGTAGGAGATTGTGACTTAAAATATTTTTCACCGTGGCCCTACTACGCTTCCGTATTATGATGCTATTTCTAAGTGTCAGAAATATTTGATTTAAGTATGATTTTGGCTATGCATAGATCAGTCAGGATGTTGGCAATGTTAATTATTTCATATCCTTGTTTAAGCAGAGACTTTCGGATATAATTCTAACGAATGTTTTACTCCTCCCAATTTAAGACACTTTTAAATGTTGGCAGATATTTAAATTCTGATGTTCCTTTGAGTCTCAGATCTGCACTGTCCAAATTTAGATGTGTTAATTCTAATTTAGCAGTTGAAACTGGAAGACACAATAAAGTTAATTACAATGAGAGATTATGTTTATTTTGTAAATTGAATGACAAAAATGTTATTGAAGATGAATTTCATGTACTCCTTAAGTGTGAACGTTTTCCTGATTTAAGGTTATGATATATTTAGAAATATTTGACTGATTTTGATCCAAATGCCAATTTTATCAACATTATGAAATCACTTTTAATGTATCATTAAAGATGTTAGAATTTGTTTGTTTCATGTACTTTAGCGCATTAGAAATGTTCCTCTTACATAGCATGTGCACTGAATCATCAATAATACTGTAGAATGGGCCTGTGGCCTTTTACTGAGTAAACTTCTGTCGGTCTGTCGGTCTATTTCTAAGTGACGTTTAGTACTTCTCACTCAATCCCCGACAGAAGACTTCACTATCTACAATCCCATCCATGTGAAGGTCGGACCTTTCGTTCAACCCTCAACAGAAGATTTCTATATTATTGCGCAATTCTCTGTGAGGCTTAATCAATCAACCTCTTTATGTGATACACATGTTGTAATGTTTGTACAGGAACACAACAGCTTCAACAAGACATACGAACAATGTGGGGCAAGACCGCACCTCGATGGATCAGCTTCTGCATGCGCATCGTGTGCCCATTGCTCCTGTTGGTATGTACACCTGTTTGTCAGGGTTTTGTCGCTAATATTTACAGATCTGCTACATGAACCTGCCTTCATCGCATGGGAGTGTATACGATGTGTTGGACTAGCAATTATGTTTGAAAGGACGGGTCTGCTCTGTTTGAAATACATGTGTCAAGAATGATTAGTTCCCAATGGAATTAGTTCCGCCAGGAACATATATTATTCGCGCAAATCTATCCCTCCCAGTCAAATTGAGGATACGTAAGTGGAACAATTTTGCTTTGATTAAGAAAAATCAGTTTGTATATTTTAGGACCAGATTACATTTAGATAACAGTGTTAGGGTTAGGGTTTAAGTTATGGTTAGGGTTAGATTTACGGTTGAAAGAATTAGGGTTACTTTAAGAGAAACTCTTCACTTGGAAATATATTTTGGACCACAAAACACTGTGTTATGGGGGCAAATACGCCAGATAATTCAGTACAAAGGAAATGTTCCTTACTGGACCAGAAACTGTATGGTACTCGGCTGTGTAATTTCAGCATCTTCCTTAAATGATTGCGATCATGCTGTGTATTGTCCTTACCTGTGAGGAGCGGTGGGGTGGCTAAGTGGTTAATTATTCTTTCATACCGCCGAAGCCACGGGTTCAATTCGTGACATGGATACAATGCGTGAAGCTTTTGTCTTTCGTCCCCGACGTGATATTGCTGGAGGCGGTGTAAAACCATACTAACTCTCCATAACTCAGCTATATGGTGGCGGTATGTAAATAATAGAGTTTGAACCAGACAATCCAGTGATCAACAGCATAAGCCTCGATCTACACAAGTGGGATACGATGGCGTGTGTCAACCATGTCAGCAAGACTGACCACCCGATCCCGTTAGTCGCCTGAAGATCAATTCTAACCGGATCTTCACGGGTCACTCCCCATAAGGTGATCGAGACTCCTTTATAAGGTCCAAAAGTAACTATGGTATTTCGAATGTGAAAATACACTGTCTAGTGTTATCTCGTTAGAAGTGGGGATAATGCTGCTAAAACGTCTTGGTCCAAACTTTGAACATCAACTTTGAAAACCATCTTGAATGCCGATATGGAGCTTTTCATTATTAATCACGCGATCATGCGTGAAGCCCATTTCTGGCGTCCCCTTCGTGATATTGCTGGAATATTGCAAAAAACGGCGTGAAACCATACTCACTCCTCCCTCAGCAGTGACTAAATAACAGGATATTATCTTTTTGTTCCAGGTTATCTTCACCTTCTCTCTCTACTCGTACCGACCTCCTCAGTACGCTGAGTACGTCTACCCCACCTGGGCCACCGTCGTGGGCTGGATGATCTCCATGGCTTCCATCCTTCCCTTCCCCGTCTTCTTTGTTTGGACAGTGTACCACACAAGCGGAACCACGGTCGTAGAGGTCAGACCCTAACGCTTTGATATTCTGGGGATGGGGGTGACTGGTGACTCGTGGGTGGGACGTTAGGACATATATTCCACCCTGAAACACCTGAATTGTTATCACAATGTGAAACAATACTGAATCTTACTTTTGCGCAAAGGAAGGTGTCGTAAGAGGCGACAAACGGCGATCGGGTGGTCAGGCTCGCTGATTTGGTTGACACGTCATCGTATCACCACTACGGAGATCGATGTTCATACTGTTGGTCACTGGATTGTCTAGTCCAGACTCGATTATTTACAGACAGCTACCATATAGCTGGAATACTTGTAAGTATTTAAAAAAAACAGCCAGCGTAAGGAAGGACAAAGTTATCCTTTTCGCAAACACTTGCTGTTATCACAATTTGAAGCAATACTGAGTCCTTGTTTTGCGTGAGGAAGGACATAATTTCATTTTCGCAAACATTTTGTCTTCACAAAGTTGTTATATAGATGATATTATATGAGTGTCCATGGCATGCTATGTTTATGATACGGGTGCCTAAATGTTGGTATTTCTCGAGCGAGAGCGAGGTGAAAATATTCCGATATTTAGGCACGAGTGTTGTAAACATAGTATGGTAAAGGCACGAATATAATATTCTATTACCGAAGTTGCCAAATTGAGCAAAATACACCCAAATCTACTTTCAAACATAGGTTGGCTACCTGCCCCCGTTGCATGTAGAACGCAACGTCATAGAAGAAAGCGTGACGTCATAGCATTGTTCATGACGTCACGTCATCATGACAAAGTGATATATGGCCCATGGGCATCGTATGAAAAATATGAACCCCGATATTTTCGCCCTCGTAGGTAATAAAAATATGTATCTACCACCTTTGATTGAAATACCCATATGTTCCACATGTTGTACACGCAAGGTCAGGGGAAGGCTAATCACGTTTTGGTGTATATTTCATTCAACACACGTATGTGTAAATGTATGTATAAAGGCCAAACTTAATGTCAATTTTCCATAGAGACAGGTGCGCGTTAAATGCAAATATGAGGAAATACGTGAAATGGATAAATGACAGATTAAATATACGGTGAAATATATTCCTGAGTAATTGGAATTACTGAGACATTAGAGTGATGCGATAGTTAAATGTTTCACATCCATTTTATCACCCTATATGTGAGGGCGAGTAGATTGAATTTTTAAAATATATCGTATTTATATCCTACAACACATCACAATTTAATTCTGGACACCCAAAGTCCAGAAACTCTCTGCACTGTGGCCACTTGCTGCCAAAGGATTTTACAAAATTAAACATGTAGTTGTCTTGAATATATGATAAGAATGAAAACACCTTTTTGTTTTCAAAAACTCTAAATTTAAACTCGCTCGCCCATGGACGAGAATATTTACTGTTGCTCAAAATACATGTTTTTTTCGGAGGTTATAAATGAATGAAAGTATGTTTTAAATTAAATTGTGACGTGCTCTACATTATCCCTCTTTAAATACAGTGCGAGCCTGCTGTTACAGAGTTGTGTAGCCGACGCCACATTACTAATTATTAATGCTGTTAATGCTTATTTTTTTCAGAAACTTGAAAAAGCGATCCGACCAAACAAAAATAAGGGTGGCCGAATACATACTGATAACGAGAATCAGGACGTCAGCTTTCCTACCATGCTGCAGGAGAGTTTGTGTGACAATACAGATCTGGGGGTAGAAGAAGTAGAAAATGCTCGCAGTGTTGAAACCAATATTATCAACTTATGACCTCCTTATTGTCCCTCTCAACAAGTTTTTGATTATCATATCACATTGCTTCACTTTCCGCAATCCCCATATGAGGAAGCAAGAGGGTTTACAAAATGGTAAACCCTCACTAACAACTGTAACGTTGCAGTGATGAAAAAAAAGAAACCAAACAACCCTCAGAGAGAATTTATTGCCATGGTTTCAATTAATATTGAAGGTGAGAGTCATAGACCGGCCTTCCTTTCACAATCTTTCCGAGCAGAGCATTTTACTTCTTGGTTGTTTGCATTCTTTTCAGGTGTTTCAATCTAACATTATTCCTCCACTTTCCTGGATTTAGCACAAACAAAGTCTCTCACAGGTGCTCTCTGATTAATATAGACAAACAGCTTCACTTCTATGACCTGAAATACATTTGATGAAATATGGACAGTGTTCCTCTGTTTGCTTGTTTATACTATGCAAACTGTCATTTACATTATTACTATTACTAAATGTAGTTTGAAATGTACACTGATGTTTGATATAAATTACCTGTCTGTACGCATATAGTCTGCTCATCAACATTGCTTTGGTACAATCGATGTGGCTGTAGTTGCCTTCAGAGAATGGTTGCTGATGCCAACTGCTCTCCAGTGAGTGAGTGAGTTTAGTTTTCGCCGCACTCTCAGCAATATCCCAGCTATATGGCGGCAGTCTGTAAGTAATCGAGTCTGGACCAGACAATCCAGGGATCAACAGTATGAACATCGATCTCCGCAATTGGGATACGATGACATGTGTCAACCCAGTTACCGAGCCTGACCAGCCGATCCCGTTAGTCACCGACAAGCATGGGTTACTGAAGATCAATTCTAACCCGGGTCTTCACGGGTCACTGCTCTACAAATGCGCCTGACGGCATCTTGGATCAAGTTATGACCAAACGGAATCCCGTGAAACCATTCTTTTTCTTTGTTTTGTTTCAGTGGAGTAGATAGAACGCACCCTTCCTACCTAGGCTTTTGGGGCTGAAAACAAACATGTGGCAATATATACTGGCAACATAAAGAAACTGTGCACACTGAAAATATAAATATAGGCACACAGCGTCTTTATACATAAATACAAGTGTGAACACAGCAAGTGTTGGAGACAATCAAACGCTCATGAACGTGCCAGGCGACGTGACGTCATTGATGGTGGCCTATGGACTTGCAATGTGTTACTGCACGTGCAGCACGTGCAGTCGCTCACAACATGTGAAACTCAGAAATTGCAGTCACTGTCGAAAGCTTGATCGTTGGTCATTCAAACGTTCACAAATTCACATGAGAAGTCACATGCACATCATGCCAAGATTAACATCTGCTCAATGTCAAGAAGCTATTGGAATGGTTCGAGCAGGAATGAGCCCACAACAGGTGGCATCACATCTCAATGCCATCGTAACTCGATGTCTGCATTGACCAGGCGTTATGGAAACAGTAATGACGTCACCGACCACCCACGTTCTGGGCGTCCCCGACGTAACGACGCCAAGACAGGGCAGATAAATTCGGGTGGCTCATCTCAGACACAGGTTGCAGACGGCAGTGACCACGTCCCAAACCATTCCCCAAGCCTTCAATGCTCATTTGGTAGCCTCTGGGCGTCGTCGATGCACTGCTGTGCTTCACGCACATGGCGGTCATACCCGTTATTGACTTTGTGACTTCGTCATGTGACCACCTACTCGATTTTGAACTTCTGACGTCATCGTTGCGGAGTTTGTTCATGTTCTTTTGACATGTTGTTGAGGTCCGATACTTCAGCTTATAAAGTGTCTCTATCATTTCGTCTTTTTTGTGTTGTATTCTAATTCAGAAGGAATTTTCTGTGTGCGCACTTTCTTTATGTAGCTAGTATATAATAACACACTTGCTAAAAAATATAATTGCAAAATATGTTCTGGTCAAAACGTTACTGAAACTCACAACAGAGATTTGTACTTCTCGTACATGCGGACATACCATCAAGCTGGTTCGTCAGTATTCTCATGGGCCCGTACTTCTTCCCCTTAATTTCCTCTGGTTCAGTCCAACGGGTTGGTCTTCGACACGTCTTCAAAGAGGAGAAAACGTCTACCGTTACCGTCAGTATGGGGCTGGTAATCTGAGGGCTGCTTACTATTCGCAGACTCATATGTTCTTTTCCACCCCTCAGAGCAAAATGTAGTCCTGTGAAATATTAAAATTATTACATTTAAGGTGAACTCTAATTTCGATGAAACCCATATAAAATGTTTTATGCGATGTTATGATGAATTAAGAAAGTTGGGTTTTTTCAATACCAATAATTAGGAAATTTTGTTGGGAACTAATTACTTAAAACTAACAAAATGGTCACGAATTAGGTACAAACCAAATACGAGTATGCTGCGACTGATATATTATTGGGTGTTTGAGAACTGTGGATAAATTGTCAATTCAATACCAGTAAACATGTAGTCACCTGTAAGGTATTGTACCATACCGAGAAGCTTCTGGGGAGTGTAATCACTGAGAATATTTAGGTCCAAAAAGAAAGATGTGTTCCTCTACGAAGGAGATAACTTCTGTTGATTTGTCCCTAGACTCTGTCCCATATTGGAACAATGACTGCTATATTTTAAGACATCTTGTTCACACGATGACAATTTACAAACACATATTCAACAGCCTTCGACTTTAAGTCTTTCTTTTGTTTGCCGACACTAATATCAATCAACAACCATGTTCAAGACAAGCTTTCAACAGGAATGTAAGAATATTTGATTTTACTTGGGGTGAAGAAGAGAACGACCCATACTACTATTCCGTCAAAATCTAGCCTGAATTAATAGAACATTTGAAAACGGAAGTCGAATCAAAACGGGCCATCAAATGGGAACTTTGTACCCAGTTCAAATTCAGTAAAAAAGATAGGTCGGGTCAACAGTCTTATGTTGAACACTTCTTTTACAAACCAAAATGTCCCAACTGCCTATTAACCATTGAAAACATGGTTGATGACATGTGTTTTGTGAACTGCGTGTTAAAAGCTCATTTGTTCCCTGTTCAATCCCATCTGGTCAGAGAACAAGTGAATCAGACCACACGAGTTAGACTTTAACGGTTGTGCATTCCCCATGAGTCTCAAACATATTTCTAAATTTGAAAAAGCAAACGATCTCAGTATCAATATGTATGGCATTGATGAAGATGATAATCAGCACCATGTTGTCTTTCCTTTACGAGGCAGTTCCAATATGAACCATTTACCCACAGAACGTCAGATTTATCCCCTGTTAACTACAGAAGTAGATGAGGAAGAGTCAGACTAACCTCCTATATCTCAGTATGTTCGGAACACCAGTTTGCCAGTTTTGGTCAGAAAAGCAAATATATCTGTCGAAAATGTTTGTGGACTTTCACGTCCAAAGACAGATTAATACAACATACCTCTTACTGTTATGACAAAGCGCAATGGGGCGGTGGGGTAGCCTAGTGGTTAAGGCGTTCGCTCATCACGCCGAAGACCCGGGTTCGATTCCCCACATGGTTGCAATGTGTTAAGCCCATTTCTGGTGTCCCCCGCCGTGATATTGCTGGAATATTGCTAAAAGCGGCGTAAAACCAAACTCACTCGCTCACTCACTAATGTATTATAATGCCTGAACCAGATAAAGCCTTTCGAACATTTAGGTCACTATGGTAAAATGGTTAAAGCCCACTTTGTAATCTACCGTGATTTTGAATCCGTGCTGGCACCTTTAGAACACAAAGAGATATAAGAGCACCGTCCCTGTGGTTACAGGTATCAAATCGTATATTGGGAATGTAACTTGTACTCTTTTCCATTGAAAGCCTATAACGAGGAACAGACTGCTCAAAATTTCATGAAACAACCTTTGGAGCATTACCATCAAATCATGGAAATTTTAAACCATCCCTTTGACAAATGAGGAAAAGTTAGCTTTAAATTTGGAAACCCATTGCTATCTCAGTGGACAGGAAGCACAGTAGGACGAGAGATGTATCGATCACGATCATTTGACGGTCGAGTCAGGAGTCTGTGTCACAATTTTTGCAATGTTAACTCCATCAAATCCATATTTGGAATGTCATTTGTCTTAATGCTTCATGCTATGACAACCATTTCATTCTTCAAGCTGCATAATTATTTGCTGACCGAAAATTGACGTGCATAGGTAAAAATTCTGAACACTTCATGTTTCAAATTAGTCATCTTCGTATTTGGACAGTTACACATTTTTTATTACCAGTTTGCAAACTTTGGCTGACAATTTAAGAAGCAAAGGTCAAGAATAATTTAAATATTTGGCAAAGAACTATCCTGAACATGTGGATTTGTTGACTCGAAAATTGACCTATTTTGGTGAATACGTGGACTATTTAAAAAAATTGATCGGAACAGACTTCCCAAGGCAGGGAGATTTTTATTCTTCCTTAACAGAAGAAACCATTAAATATCAAGACTATGTTTTTGCTCAACACATTTGGGATACTTTCAAAATTACATCGGTGAGAGAATTTATGGAATTATATGTTGCTGTTGACATATTGATTATGAAGGTTTTCGTGTCATGTGTCTATGCTGTCATAAGTTAGAACAGTGTTAGTACTTCACTCTCCCTGGAATGGCCATGGATGCATGTCTGATGACAGGGGTGATTCTGGATCTCATGACTGATCCCAACATGTACGGCTTTGTCTTCAAAATGGTGAGAGGAGGTGTGGCTGGAATCAATCATCGTCATGCCGAAGCCAACCACAACACATGACCCGTCCAAATCTTACTTGTTCTATTTTGACATAAATAATCTGTATGGTGCAGCCATGACTTGCCCTGGGAGTACTGCACTTTACCGGGCGCACTTTTTCAGATTAATTAGCGTTGCTGGGGTTCCCTAACCCTAACCCTAACCCCTAATCCTAAGGATCGTAAAGGGTGCCTAACCCTAAGGATCGTAAAGGGTGGCATACCCTTACCCTAAACCCTAAACCTAAGGATCGTAA